CCCGGTCGGGGGCGGGGGAGCCGGCGGCGAGCGGGGAGAGCGCGGCGTCGAGCGCGTCGAGAGCGTTGGTGCGGAAGCCTTGGAGATCGAGCGCCATGGACTTGAGGAGGTGAGAGGCGGCGTCCTTGGGGTCGAGAGCGATGGCCTTTTCGGCCTCGGCTAGGGCCTGTTTGGCGAGGGAGGGGGAGTTGGACCTTCGGGCCTGGGCCAGGAGTTGGGCCCCTTGGACGAAGTGGCGTTTGGCTTGGACCACGCGTGGGTTTGGGGGACGGTTGCGGAGCTTGGCGTAGAGCCTCTGGGGAACGCCGTGCGTGGCAAGGAAGGAGACCACGGCGATGAATATGAGAACGACTTGCAAGGCGATGTCGCGGATCATTGCTTTCTTATCGTCTTGCTCCATTATTCTTTGCTTCTGGGATCTGCGGGTAGATGTGTGTTGTTTATTTGTAGGGTGAGGTGTGGCCAGCGGAATTTGATAACCTTTTCTTCTTCCTCTTCTTCTTCGGTCAGAGACTCTATGCGTAGACCGCAGCCCCTGTGTTACGTTTGACTTGTCTTTTTTACTTCCCGGGATCTAATGGACAAGCATTAATGCTAAGCTTTTGTTTAGTTTAAAAAACACGAAACATGATAAAATAAAATAAGGTAAATTCTACCCTCACAAAAGCACCTTTTAACAAATGATTTTTTTACTGAAATAAATTTTTTTTTTTTTAAATTTGCCAAAATAATACCTGTACCAATTTATTTACAGAAGTAGCATCTTTTACTGTTCACACTCAGAATTCGGTTCATTCTGAGCAATTAATTTTTTTTTTGCTCAGATTTCGGTTCCCGGAGAACCGAATTTTGAGTAGTATTTAAACTTTTTTTTCCTTTTCTGTTTGTAGCTCGGGGGTGTGTGAATGTTGTATCTGGAACGGCTCGTTCTCCAAGCAGAACGCATAGTATGTTATTTTTGAAATTGGAATGTCCAAGCAGAACGACCCGTTTTGATCCATTTGTCATGTGTGTATTTTTTGAATCCGGAACGGGCCGTTCTAAAAGGGGAACGGGACGTTCTCCTTGCAGAACGACCCGTTCTCCTTTCAGAACAGCCCGTTGTCCTTTCAGAACGGGTCGTTCCTGATCCAGTTTTACACTATGCTCAGCTCCAAAAACGCAAAAAAAAAAATAATAAAAAATTTAACAGCTCAGATCTCTCGGAATCGAATCCTGAGTGAACAGTGAAAGATGCTATTTGGGTAAATAAAGTGGTACATGTACTTTTTGGGTAATTTAAAAAAAAAAAATTATTTTAGTAAAAAATTCTTTAACAAATACCGAACTATCATCCTATCGCAATTCACCGTGTAAAAACTTTTACGTTGTCTGCTGAACATATGTATTAAACCCTACCTTCTTTGTATAAATTAATAGTAAATAATAAGAGCATGGTGACGTATAGAAGAATTTTTTTAGAACTTATCTATTAAAAAGTAAATTCTTAATTTTTTTTTAAATTTGTATTTAAACATATATTATATTTATAATAACATGAAATTGGTAATATTATTTAATGATAAGTTATACTTTTGAGCATTTATCTTAAGTTTCAATATTTACTTTGGTTTTAAATTTTTAAGAATTTTTTTTTGTCTTTTATCCTTTATTCAATTCGGTTGTTGATTCAATAATTTTTAATTTTGAGAAACGATTTATAATATTTTTTTACTAAGTGCGTGTTTGGTAATACGTTTGGGATCCACGTTTTCCCCTATTTTCACGTTATAACGCAGCAAAAGCAACTAATAGTTGCTTCTCAAAATCACGTCCAAGTTTTCAAACGTAAAAGCAAACAGGCTATAATTCAAAATATGAAACTTGTTTTATTTGATTTATCTATATGAAAATCACTTAGCTTATTTGATGTTGAAACCAAAAAAGAGTCACATGATGAGAATTACAAGATGAGTTCAATGAAGAAAATTAAATCCAATGTCATTCTTTTCTGGTTGTTCGATAGATTGATTTAATATTTTCAATTTTTTCCCCATATTTATAGCTTGTTTAGTTCCAACATCAAATGAGTTTCACAATTTCATGTGGGTGAAATTAATTTGATTTATTTTACGTCTTAAAATAGTCAAAAATAAAATAAAATTATGTCTAAAAATTGAAAATTATCATTGTTTTGAATGGTCTACATTAATTCAAATTTAATAAATAAAAGATCAAAATAAATCTTAAAAATAAAATTACTTTTGTTGTCCATTCCAACAAGGCTTGTGTAATTTTCATGTTTAATATTGAATTTAAAAAAAAAATAAAACAAATAAAAAATGGTAAATAAGAGAAAATATAGAAAAAGTTTTGGGTTATAGTTTGAATTAAGTACGACAACAAAAAATGCATCTTATTTTGATTTTGGCAGAAAAATCTCGCCTGTTAATGGTCGAATAAAAATCATGGCTGATTCTGTCAAGGATGAGCTAGTAGGTTTGCCTACCAAAAAGATAAAAAAAAATGGTACTCCCCTTTTTTTTTAATGTTTAAGGTTTATGTATAAAAATTAAAAAAATTATTGATATTGTAGTTTTTTTAAGTATTTTTATTACTTATTTTTCTGTTATATATTTTAGGTAGTTGAAAAAGAAATAAATACATTGAAAATAAATAAATACATTGTTCAGTAAACACACATTAATTATCAAGAGTAAAAATGAAAAATAAAATAAAATTAATAAGTCATTAATTTTAGAAAAGTGACAATAAAAAAAAATAATGTCAAAACGACTATAAAAAAACAAAGGAAGTAATCTTTATTTTTCATCACTAATCTAAATTGACAAATTTAGTTAAATGGTCTTAAATTTATTAATAATATATCACCTTAGCTTAAAAGATTTTTTTTTTATCTCATCATTTAGAAAAATAACTATTTTAAAACTTAAAATTGTAATTTATTATATTTAATAATTTTTAATAATAGACTAACTTTTATCGAAAGATATACCTCACTATATGTGTGTGTTCTGGTATGGAAGATGTCTAGGATCTTTTTTAGATAAATTATCAAAGTCAGAACATTTAAGAATGTAATTTATTAGTTTAGGGATAGAGTTTTTATAACTATTTTGCATGGATCTATGAGTCCCAAAAGATAAGATGGTTATTTATCATTATGATTTTTGACTTAAAAGGATAAGATTTTACCCTAGATACAGATCTTGAGTTAGATTTATTCCGATATCCCTCGGGTAAGATGTATGTATAAAGAAGTCGGTCATCACTCCTTGGACAGACCCTCTTGACTTAGTGTTTGGGATACTTGACCAAGGATCTCGACCAATACTTCTCTGCAAACTCATCTCGAAATATATCTAAGATGGTATAATACACACGCACACACACACACACACACACACACACACACATATATATATATATATATATATATATTTATATATAGGACGACTTAAGTAAAAACACTTGTTAACTTGAGATTATGAGAAAAACTAATAGTGACCCTTAAATTAAAATAAACAATATAAGATTAAAAGATATCACTACATATAGTTGTTATCATAGTTCTTTCTATCATCATTATCCTTGTTTTCGTTATTAGAATCGTCATCCTCACAGTCTACTACATCATCATCATCATTTTTGCCACCAGTGTTATCACTTTCACCACAATCGTCACTAATGATGGTGACAATAATGGGTTCGATGACAATAATGATAATAACAATGATAGTGATATAACAAGGTAGTGATGATGGTTCCAATATCAAGAAAGAAGACAATAACAATAAAGATAATGATGACGATCTTACATAATATCTTTTAATCTATATATATATATATATAACTATTAACATATAAATAAATATATTAATAGTTAAATAATTGTAACTATAATAATACTTAAATAAAAAAATTAATCAATATAAAATATTACAACAATTACGTTAAAAATCAAATATAAATTCTCACACTTCTATCCAATCCTAAAACAAAATATAATTTCTTAATTTTTTATTTTACATTTTATATTTACTAATTTTTGTGTATTTAATTTAAAAATAATCAATAAAATTCGACGAGAATGATATTGAATTTAATAAGTTTATCCCTGCCTTTTATGAACTTGGACCCACCCGCGCAAAAGGCGGGAATTGGGAGAACCAGACCAGCACTGTTGTCAACTTATCATGTCTTTTTAAAATTTAGATAGAAATTGAAAAAGAAAAGTTAAAGAAACAAGATATAATTATAATTATGTTAGATAAATTGTATATTTTTTTTATAAATATAGCAATAAGCGAATTTGTATACGGATAAATATCATGGAAAAACTCTTTTCTTTTATGTCTAGACTGTTTGTTTTTCCTATTTGTTTTATAAGAAGGAAATCTAGACTAAATAAGGTGGATTAAATTGCTATTTTAACAGTTTATCCGCTTAGCGTCAATAATCCACGTCTTGACGAATTTAACGCAGAAAATGACAAATTTAACGCAGAAACAAGTTATGATAACTTCTTATCGACGTCAATCCAAACACGGGCTATATAACAATTTTTGTCTCCACCCATTTTGGGGAGACCACAGCTGAAATAATAATTAATTATATTTTTTCAGTCTAATTTTTAGACTTAGAAGGTATATATATCCTAAGACATGTGAGGAAAAAAAATCTTTTTTTCTCAAATAATACAAAAGAAGTACGGACCAAAAATTACACTGGTTAATTGTTTGTTGTGGTTTCCATAAAAAGGGTAACAAATTTCAGTCGCAGGTAAACCCAATTACGGGCTGCGTATCTTCTTTATGTATCCCCCATCTTTATCACTTCTGCTGGAGATTTTACCAGCTTCTTTAGTGAGTCAACAATGCCAGCAAAAGATGGGCGTTCACTAGGGTCACTGCCAAGTAAATAAAACAGTCATCAGAAATATAAATAAATATATGTATATATATTTGGTAACATAGAAAAGGCAGTAGTAACTACAGCAAAATAACACGTGAATTATGCAGATTTTTTATGAAATCAGTGAGGCATCTGCTCAGGGGATTTCTAGTCTCCTTGTCAGAGCTGAAGTGAGAACTATTCATAACGAAGTTATCACCTATTCTACTCCATCCAATTTTTAGCCAGATTTAATTATTGGCTTAACTTTCCGTCAATAACTAAATGGGTATGCATTGTTCAGAAATTGACCAGGAAGATTCCCACCGTCCAAAGCAATAGAAAAATCAATGATGTTGAAAGTTTATCGTGCGTATATATGGGGATCCAAAATTCACGTTGACTTTGAAAACCCTGTTCCTGCGTTATTGACAGGACTGACCAACAGGTTTTTCCAAAATTATGAATTCCATTTTAAAAATTCGTAACAGAATATAGGTATAATTGAAATTTTCAAACAAGTTTAATCACAGAACCATATCATAGTTTCTTGGTCAAGTCACAATTATTAATACTTATAATAGTGTTCTTAGAAAACCCAAAATAAATACTGGCAATTTGCTAATAAAATTGGACCAAGTGGCACAAAAATGTTCACAATTTACAAATAAATGACATGAATAACACTTACTCGGCCCAACAAGATTCCATGAGGGAGGCCAATGCAGGGGAGATGTTTGGAGGAATAGCAAGCCTTCTGTTCTGAAAAGCCACAGCTCCAACCACCTGAGAGTTCACATGATGATGATCATTTTACAATCTATTATGGAGGTTTCGCTATTCCAAGCACTCGTTTGAAATATGCAAGTTCGCTTGATACCTTTACATTATATGTCCTTTTTAAATTAACAAATTCTTGCAAATGGTCCCTACTACTGTATAAATAAACACATTAAGTAAAAATAATTGATTTCAAACATTTAAAATATAGAGCATATATATTCATTGAGTTTACCTGGGCAGGACTAAGTCCACTCCATGGTTGTTGCATGGTCACAAGTTCCCACAGTATAACTCCAAAACTGTATACATCAGATTTCTCATTGGAGGGTTCTCCACGAAGAAATTCTGGAGCCATCCATTCAGGCTAAAAGTAAGATCAGGAGAGTTAGTTATACTCGGGCGAGGTACCATGACCTTTCCACCTGAAATTCATATCAAAGTTTCCCACTATAAATCTAAACCAAATAACTCACCTATTCAGTACAAAAGACTTAGAAAATAAAATTTTCATGCAACCATCAAACTCTAAAAATCATCAACACTTCAATCTCTCCTTAAGAATACCAAAACTCCAATTCTCAACATACCTCATCTTTGGATTCAATTGCTACAACTATAGCTTTCAAAAATTTCACCAATCATAAATTCTTAATACACTTTAAAATAAATCAATGTCTTACCCAAATCTAAGG